GAAATCACAGCCAGATGTGGTGGTTCACACCTGAGCCTGGGAATTCTAGACCAGCTGTAGCGAGAACCCGAACTCTACAAAAACATTTTCTAATTTTTTTTTTATTTTATTATTATTATTTTTTGAGTTGGAGTCTCACTCGGTCTCCCAGACTGGAGTGCAGTGGCCACTCCCGGCCACCGCGGCCTCACCTGCTGGGCTCCGGCGATCCTTCCAACTCAGCCTTCCAAGTAGCCGGAATTTCAGGCGCGCGCTACCATGCCCGGCTGATTTTTTTTATTTATTATAGAGATGAGCTCTCGCTGCCCAGGCGGGTCTCGAACCCACGGGCTCAGGCAATCCACTCACCTCAGCCTCCCAGAGGCGCGGGATTGCAGGCTGAGCCACTGAGCCCGGCTAAAGCACTTTTTCTAGTTTCTCACTCAGCAACGATCAACTCAGAAGCCTCCTGTGATCACACGTTTGAGAGTTTCTCCCCACCAGCAAGCAAGCAATCAATTCTGCAGTGGACACCAACTGGGTGGCCTCCGATTCAGTTCTATTCGGACACAATCTACCTGAAGGCAGCATCAGATCCCACAGGCTGAGGGCTCAGTCCCCAAGACTGCCCCCACTTCAGATGCCATTTGCAAGCTCCAGGTTGTTTTCCCTGTGCTTCTGACTGACCGGCTATAAATCAGGGGCCCCAGGACCCCTCCTTGGGTTCCGTCAGTTTGCTAGAGCAGCTCACACAACTCAGGGAAATACGTTTGCCAGTTTATTATAAAGAATATTACAAAAGATACAGATGGAGAGAGTGTAGGGCGAGGTATGGGAGAAGCTTATGTGCCCTCCCTGTGCACCACACCCCTGCAACCTGTGTGTGTTCAACTGTCCAGAAGCTCTCCAAGCCCTGTACTTTACAGTTTTTACGGAGGCTTCATTTCATAGGTGTGATTGGTTAAACCACTGACCATTGGTGATCAACTTGACCTTCAGCCCCTCTCACCTCCCAGTAGGTCGTGGGGTGGTGCTGAAGGCCTCAAGCTTCTAATCCTGCCTTGGTCTTTCCAGTAACCAATCCCCATCCTGAAGCTACTTGGGAACTGCAGCCACCAGTCAACTCATGAGTAAACAAAAAGACGTCACTTTGTTGGAGAGTCCGAGGATTTTAGGAGTCATATTCCAAGAGATGGGGCCCATGACCAAGTATAGATTTCACAATATCACAGAACCTAATTTGTGTGTTTTAGGATTTGTTCCTGGTTCACGTTTATGAGGTTTTTTATTTTCTTGACTTAACTCTTTGGAGCACTGGTCAATAGTTGAGGTCCGTCTTATCCGTTACTTTGGGATTTGATCACGTGATTTGGTATGGGGCATGACATCACTTTGGGGCCATTTTTTGCAGCTCAGGGTTGGCCTGGCAGCAGGGCTGGAACTATGCGGAGGCAAGAGGGAGCCTCAGGTGCAAAATGTCAGGAGGCGCCGCTCCAGGATCAGCGTGACCATGGAGGCCTTCCGCAGGCCCAGACTCGGGCCAGAGCCGCCAGCCTGGAGCAGCCTGGTGTGGCTTGCCAGTCTCGCCGGGGGGCTGTCTGCCGTATCTCAGGACTTTTCACGCTGGGTGGGCCAGAAGTCGCGTCATTCCTGAAGTCTGTGGTGGCGGAACCAAGACGGCAGGAGACGCTAGGGAACCCGGGGAGGGCGCGGGTTTAGGAAAGCCGCCACGTCCATTCATGCCCTGCTACGGAGCGTGGGAACCCGAGGGGCGGCCGCCTGCAGGAGTACGTGCACCGGGGCCAATCAGCGTGCGGGGGCGGGCGGCACGTGGGCGGAGCTTCCCGCCTCAACCTTTCCCACGCCGGACGGCCGGTCCCCGGCACTCGCAGGTCGCCCTGTGGGGATGGGTGGGTTCCTTGCCAGGGAGGAGGAGAAGTTCATCTGCCAGGGGCTGAGTGTGGCCTGAGGGACAGGCGATCAGTCCCTGGAAGGACCGCTCTAGAGCAGGGATTGGCTTCCGGGGGCGGAAGACTCGACAGCAATCCCTGCTGGTCGCAATTCTTTGAGAGTCCAACCCCTCAAGAAAGTGGGGCCAGGGGACTGGGGTGTCACATCTGAGAAGGTCTCTGCTTTTGTTAGTCGAGTGGTCAGGGATGGCAGAGGGAGGACTCAAGGGAAAAGGCACTGCAACCCCCCTCGGCCTTGTATCCCCTGGCTCCTCTTGGATCTTAGAAAATGTTGGGGTGCTGGACAGGGACCCCTCAAGCTAGACAAGTTGGGAGAGGTCAAAGGAAGCAATGAGAACCTTAAAGCCAGGTTGAGAAAACAGACCCAAGGGGGAAGTAGGTCTCCGGGTGTGTTCTGTCTGGGTCATGTACAGGAGGCGAGACGGCTGCCCATGCTGCAGTCGAGTGTGGGCTAAGAATGTAGACTGGGAAAGACCCCTGCTACCTACCCACCACCCAGTTATCCCCTGAGAGTGCCACTCTACACTGGTGCTGCCACACCCAGGCCAGCCGGACCCTGCCCTGGCACCCAGTAACCCATCCATTCTGCTTCTCCAGGCCAGAAGTCAAGGAGCCCTCAGTGACTGGAGGATCAACGACACCTCCACATCGCTGTCCCTGCCCGGCTGGGGCAGTGCTATCACCAGCTAAGACTCAAGGTCAGTCTGAGAACCAGCTCCTGGGTTCACCTGTGAGCCTCCAGATGGGATGGGGCTGGATCTAGTTGTGGGTCATAGTCCCACCTCCCAGGGCCCAGCTTCAGTGCTGTGGTGACAAAGTGCTGGCAGGTGCCTGCCCACACTCCCTGTGGCGAAAGGCGAAGGGTAGTGGGCATTCTGGGAGGGTCAACTCACTGAGCTCACATCAAAGTGCTTGTCTCTGATGCTTGATGCTCTAGGGACACCAGTATCTGGAGCTGAGGATGGGCCCTGGATCCACTCCAGCTCTGCTGCCTTTTTGGTCACCCTGGCATGCCTCAGTGTCCTCGTCTGTAAACTGAGTCATAAAGACGGCCTGTGTCACAGTGTGGGGCTGGGAGGTCGATAGAAAAGCATGTGAACACACCTGGTCTGTTCTCAGCGAGTGGGAGGCTCCAGGGATCATAATTCATAGTTATTAGCACAAGTCACCCCGACAGCCCCTTGGAGAGTATTTTTTGTGCACACTTTACAGATGGGGAAAGTGAGGCTTGGAAGGGGCTGAGGTTACCCAAAGTTGCCAGGAGAGGAACTATCCGAGCAGAAGCAAAGCCCGGGATCCCCAGCTCTCTCAGCCCCTCACCCCCAGACTCTCAGCCCAAGGGGCACCAAAGCAGCCCTGTCTCCCCAACGCCCCTCCCAGATTCACTCCTAGAGACCCAGGCCAAGGGCTTCCTCCACTGACTGCGATTTTGCTTCCTTCCTTAGGACGGACAGAGTCCCAGGACTCCTGGGTTCCTTGCCAGGGAGGAGGAGAAGTTCATCTGCCAGGGGTTGAGTGTGACCGAGGGACAGGTGATCAGTCCCGGAATGCCCCTGCCTGAGCCCAGAGAGCAGGAGGGTGAGAGCGTGAAGGCCGGGCAGGAGCCGTCCCCTGAGCCGGGCACTGACGTCGTCCCGGCCGCCCCCAGGAAGCCCAGGAAGTTCTCCAAACTGGTCCTGCTCACGGCCTCCAAAGACAGCGCCAAGGTGGCAGGGGCCAAACGCAAAGGGGTGCACTGCATCATGTCCCTGGGGGTGCCAGGCCCCGCCACCCTCGCCAAAGCCCTTCTCAAGACCCACCCCGAGGCCCAGCGGGCCATCGAGGCGGCCCCCCAGGAGCCTGAGCAGAAACGCAGCAAGCCTGACCCGGGTGAGGCTCCCGCGGCCGCCCCTCCGCGGAACCGCCGGCACCTTTCCGAGCGCCCACCCAGCCACGCCCACTCCGTGGCCCCGCTTCTCCCCGCCCTTCGGGTCCTCGTTTCCCCGCTTCCTTTGACCACATGCGGGAGGGGGCGGCACAGGGGTCGCGGGCACAGGCTCGGGCATCCCTCTGCCTCGTCCCCTCCCAGCCCCGAGACTCCCAGCGGCCTGACTCTGCGTCTTCTCCCTCTGAAATGCGCTGCCTGGCGCCGCCCGACCGGCTCCATCACCAGAGCGCCTGGGGTGATGCCAGACTCTGCCGCCAGGCGGCGCTCCAGGCCGCGACTGCGGCCAACCTTCCAAGGCTCTGACCGCAGCTGCCAGCTGAGCGCCTCCTAGTCCTGCGGGCCCTCTGGCTCCCTTTCATCTGCTCTGGAAAGCTCCGTCACTCTCACTCATGCGCTCACCAGTCAGTCGCTTATTCAGAATTTCCTGAGCGGCAGCTGTGTTCGAGCTGGGCACTGGGGACTCAAGGAGGCTGGCAGGACCAGGCCCCTGGCACACGGGCTGCCCCTCCTAGCCAAGGACCAAGGTCATGACCTTGAGCTCTCCAGGACTGCCCCAGTGCTCCCCGCCCTTCTGCCCAAGCCTCACCCTCCCTGGAGTCTCTGGGCTTGGGCAGAAGAGGCGGGGAGGACTGGGGCAGTCAGGGCTCACTCGCTCTCCCAGGGCTCCTCGCTCTCCCAGGGCTGTGGGGGCGAGGAGTGGCTTTTGTTGCTGCAGCTGGCTGGAGGGCCCAGCCCTCGCTTCTAGTTTGGAGTGATGGAACAGATGGATAGGTGGGGCGGTTGTGGCCCTTGTCCCACTCCCCACCCTGAGCTGTGGCCCGCTGTGGTGCCAGGGCTTCCTCTGAGCCAGACTTGGGGGCTGCAGCTGGGTGGAGGAGTGAGTGGTCCGCGAGTTGGGTGAGGGCCCGCCGTTTCTCTCCACTAGCTCTGCCTAGCATGGCCAGGCCCTACCGTGCTGTCTCCTGCCAGAGCACAGGCCCCTTGACCTTGTCCCGCAGAAGGTGCCCAGATCCACGGGTCCTGCCTCAGGGCTCTGCAGGAGGAGTGACCATGGGGGTGGGGGTCGGGCTCTGGGCAGCCAAGGAAATGGGCTGGAGGACAAGCACGGGTAGGGGCGGGTGGGTGTCCTCTGACGACCCAGGGAGCAGAGGTGAGGGGCATGGGTAAGGAGGTTGGGCACGGGGCGGAGCCTGGTGGTTGCAGGACGCACTTGCAGCCGTCGGGGTGCTGGGATGGGCCAGGGGCTGGGAGGACTGACCAAGGGACTTCGGGGTCACTGGGGGTGAGGGGAGGGAGCAGCAAAGACCAGGAAGCAAGGCCTGCCTGAGCTGGGCAGCTGCCCAGGGGAGACTCACAGGTGACTGAGAGTGTCCTGGCATGTGCTATGCGGGGGTGCTGTGGCCCTCTGTGTGCGTTCTGTGTGCCTTCTCTGCCTGAATATCAGTGTTGACCTCTGCATTTGTGCTTCTGTCTATGTGTGTATTTGCCTAGGAGGGTGGGCCTGCCTGTGTGTCCCCTGGGTATGTCCGTGTGGGTCTGTCATGTGTTCTCCTGTGTTTGCTTCTGTGTGGAGCAGGGTGTCTGTGTATGTGTTTCTGGGTCAGAGTCTCTGTAGGCCCCAAGCAGGCGGGCGCTTGTGATGGTGAAACCTGTATATGTCTTTGGGTGGGAAATTCTGGGGATATGGCGGTGGGGAGATTCTGGGGACAGGGGGGTGTCCAGTGGGTGGGAAGGAGATGAGCGGGCTTTCTTCCGAGCTGGAAGTGGAATCTGCCGAGCCCTGAGAAGATGGGGACGATAAGAGCTATTGTAGGGAGTCGGGTTGCTACCTTTGAACAGGGGTCCCCTTGGGGTCAGCCAGAGTCCTCGGCTGGCAGCCAGTCACAGGAAAGGGAGGGGGCTCTTAGATTTCCATGAGTGAGCCGAGCCGGGCAGGGGACCCCGCCTCACTGGTGAAAATTGAGGGGTGGATGACCTGAGATCCTAGAGAGCCGTCGCCCACAGCTTTCCCCTGGGCTGAGGCCCTGGGACACCTGGGATGAGGTGTCCCCGGCCAAAGGCCTGGCACTCTCAAGGGACCCGGTGAGCCCCTCGGCCTCCATCCTCCTGCTGGGAGTGGTGCCCAGGGACGCAGAGGGACCCCTTCCCCCCAGAGCCTTGAGCCCCTGCTGCTGCTTGCCTGAAGCTGACTCTGAGTGCTCCCGCCCACCCCTCCTTCTCCAAGGGCCTCCTGGAGTCCACCTGACTCCTCCCCCAGCCCAGGGGTGGAGTGTGCGGGCCTCACAACCCAGGGGCACACAGGACTCAGGAGGCCTGAGTCACCACCCGGAGGCCACCGGTGGGTCCCTGCAGAGTGCAGAGCCACTTGGAGTCTGGCTCAGGGCCTGTGGGACAGGCCATCCCAAGGTCCCTTCCAGCCCATCAGAGGCCTCTGCTCACTGCTTGGGTCTGTTCAGACTCTGAGGCCCTGGCTCCTTTCAGATGCTCTTGGGCCGTCTGTCCCCAGACTTAACCCACAGCTTTCTGGAAGTTATTTGACAGCCTTTGTGACCCTGGATCGGTGGCCTTTGGGAGCCGTGTCCCTGCATGGCAGTGACTTCTCTGAGTCAGCAGAGGCTTCTGGGCCCCCGAACACCCCCTGCCTGGGTGGCAGCTCCAGGACCCAGTCGGCCCAGAAAACCCGGGGCCAACCCTCCTGGTCCCTGGCTCCCCCCTCTCCCGGCCTGACCTGCCCCCTTCTGTTCCAGATGAAGACGGGCAAGAGGAAGCTGGTGGATCAGCAGGAGGACCACCCGCGGCGGACGGGGAAGAGTTCGCCTGCCCTGCAGCGCCCTGAGCGATCCCCTGACCATGGCAAGCACGGGAGCAGGAGGAGTTGTCCGTGTCCTTTCCAGGTCCACCCACTGGGCCACAGGCTCTCCTCTGTCCACATGGCTTTCGGGACCCAGTTGTAGACAGATTTTCACTTCAACGTTGTGTAATTTTTTAAGAGATCAAGTATAAGTTACTTTTGTAAGCAGAAAAAAGTAAGAAAAAGAATAAAAGAAACTGTATGCTAGAGCCATCACGGACAGGCTTTAAACGTTCCCGGGTTCTGGATCCCTTGAGGCCTGGCTCCAGCCTCGCCACCCAGGGCCCACCCCGAAGCCCTCGGCCAGCCCTGCCCAGAGCGGCCTGGCCCGGGGCACCTCTCAGCTCAGCCGACTCTCCCAGGGCCTCCGCCTCCTCAGGTCTCTCAGCCTGGGAAACCAGCCACTGGCCTGGACACAGGGTGGGGTCCCTGAGGTGTCCCCGTCCTTCAGTCTGCCCTGGGGGGGCCATGGTGGGAGGACTTCCTGCCCTGGTTCCCTTCCCTGCAGGGGCCAGTGCCCCCTCCTGCTGAGCCCCCCCAAGATGCCCCTTAGGCACTGCCCTCCCTGGCCCAAAGTCTCGCCTCTTCCAGGAAGCCTACCAGCCTGAGGGCTCCCAGGCACTGAGCATCCCGCCTTGCGGAGAGGGGTGGCTCCAGGCCTGCTGTGGCAGGGTTGGCCCTGTGGTGGGAGGGCGGGCTCTGGGAGGGTCCAGACACAGGTGGGCAGCTGCCTGTCCTGTTCTTTCCTGAGCCCCTCCCCCAGCTCTCACCCCCACTCCTGGAGGAGGTGAAGGAAGCCCCCAGGTCAGGGCCTCAAGGAGCTCCTTCCCCACAGGGTCCTCATTCTGTGAAAACGGCCTGCGGGCTGGAGGAAGCACGGTTTTGGATGTAGGGTTTTGAGGCCCTGTGTTTTAAACATTTTTCAGATGGACTTCGCATCCCTAACTCCCTCTTAGAACAGATGAGCTCCTTGGCACATTTCCCTCCCCATCCTTCATTTTGCTGTCTTGTTTTCACAGCCTCCTTGTTCGTAACATCTGTGTTCTTTTGTTTTTGTTTTTGGTTTTTTTTTGAGTCGGAGTCTCACTCTGTCGCCCGGACTGGAGTGCAGTGGCCGCTCCCAGCCACCGCAGCCTCGACCTGCTGGGCTCCAGCGATCCTTCCGCCTCAGCCTTCCAAGTAGCCGGAATTACAGGCATGCACTACCACGCCTGGCTGAATTTTTGATTTATTATAGAGATGAGGTCTCACTACCCAGGCGGGTCTCGAACCCACGGGCTCAGGCAATCCACTCACTTCAACCTCCCAAAGGCACGGGATTACAGGCTGAGCCACCGAGCCCAGCTACATCTGTGTTCTTAACCATGATTTGCACAGGTCTCTTGTCGTGGGTCCACATTTAGGTAGGTCCTGTGTTCCCCACCATGGTGCTCCTTCCTGGGTACTCTTGGTCTGGTGTTGTCAGAGGATGAGAACCCTGGGGAGGTTCTCAGGGAGAAGCATTTGGGGTGCAACCCCGGAGAAGTAGGAGTGAAGAAGAGAAGGCCCTGGGGCGGGACAGAGAGCAAGTTCGCTGTGGGGTGGGGGTCGGAGCCTACACACTGGGTCTGGCCAAGTCAACCTTTGATTCACTTATGTTTTCATTTGGCAACGTTTCAAATACTGTGTGGCTCTCACTTAGGTTACCCACCTCACCTGTGCCCCTCTCTCTCCCCCCTTCCTTCCTTCTCTTTCCCCTCCCCCTCTCTCCCTCTTCCTTCTCTCCCTCTTTCCCTCCCTCTCCCCTCCCTCTTCCTTCCTCTTCTCCCCTCCCTCTTCCTTCCTCTTCTCTCCCTCTCTCCCTTCCTCTCTCTTCATCTGTCCCTCTCTCCCAGTCTTTCTCTTCTCCCCACACTTCTGCACACCCTCCCCTTTTGCAGACCTTCAAGATGCAGGCTCCAAAACTCTCCAGTCTACACATTTCTAAGAACAATCTTCTTGTCACAGCCACATCAACATTAGCGCGCCTGAAAGAATCTTTGCTGCTTTGGTGATGTCATTCAGCATCTAGTCCACACCAGCACCCCTGGGTGGGACCAACGTGTCAGGCCAGAGCCCCACAGTGCCTTTTGCCGCCCAGCTCCCCAAGACCCTCTCCCTGTTTTTATAAATTTTGCGTTTGGGGCTGGTGAAATATACATAAAACTTATCATTTCTAAGTGTGCAGTTCAGGGGCATGAAGTACATTCGCAGTGTTGTGCAACCGTCACCGTCTTCTGTCTCCAGATCTCCAGAATTTCTGTTCCCCCAAACCAAAACTCTGTCCCCGAAAGGCCTACCCCCTCCTTCTCCCCAGGCTCCCCCTCAGGCTCCCCCTCACCCCCCCCATGTCTCAGGATTTAACTCCTCCTGGTCATCAGGGAAGCAGGATCACACGCTATTTCTCCTTTTGTGCCTGATTGATGGATGTTACTCACTGTGAAATCCTCAAGCCTCATCCATGTTGTGGTGTCCCTTGGAAAGCCCCAGCAGTTCTGTCATGAGCCTCCACGTGTGGCGTCTGCCTCTCACACAGTTAGATTCGGACCTCACGTTTTTGGCAAGAACACACTACATACACTCTTATTTTATTTATTTATGCTGCAATCCTAGTTCACTGCGGCCTTGACCTCCTGGGTTCAAGCGATCCTCCCACCTCAGCCTCCTGAGGAGCTGGGACTACAGGTATGAGCCACCACCACCCAGCTAATTTTATTTTTACTTTTATTTTTGTAGAGGCAAGGTCCTGAACCCTGGGCTCAAGTGATCCTCCTGCCTCCACCTCCCAAAGGGCTAGGATTACAGATGCAAGACACCTTGCCTGTTTTTTTCTAAAAATTGAGGTAAAATTTACATAACATCCAATTAATCTTTTTTTTTTTCTTTTGAGTTGGAGTCTCACTTTTGTCACCCAGGCTGGAGTGCAGTGGGGCTTAGGTGATCCTTCTGCCTCAGTCTTCCAAGTAGCTGGAGCTACAAACGCATGCCACTAAGCCCGGTTCGTTTTTTTGTGTGGTTTATTGTAGCAGTGAGGTCTCACCAAGTTGCCCTGGCTGGTCTTGAATCCCTGGGCTCAGGCAATCCTCTAGCCTCGGCCTCCCAAAGTGCTGGACTTACAGGCTGAGCCACCACACCCAGCCCCAATTAATCATTTTAAAGAACATAATTCTGGCCAGCCTGTAATCCCAGCACTTTGGGAGGCTGAGGCAAGTGGATTGCCTGAGCCCGCGGGTTCGAGACACCCGGGCAACTTGGCAAGACCTCTTCTCTACAATAAATCAAAAATTAGCCGGGAGTGGTAGCGCGCACCTGTAGTTCTGGCTACTTGGAAGGCTGAGGCAGAAGGATTGCCGGAAGCCAGCAGGTCGAGGCTGCGGTGGCTGGGAGTGTGCCACTGCACTCCAGTCTGGGCGACAGAGTGAGATTCCAACTCAAAAAAAAAGAACATAATTCTATGACATTTAGTGTATTCACAATGTTGTACAACCACCACCTCTCTAATTTCAGAACTTTTTCATCACCCCAGAAAAATCCCCATCCTTTATGTACTCACTCCCCACCTCCCCTCCCCTAGTCTTGGAAAGCACCAACCTCCTTCTGTCTCTGTAGACTTGTGTATTCTGGATGTATCATATAACAGGAACCAGATGATACATCTGTGGCCTTTTGTGCCTGTCTTTTTTCCACTCAACATGATGCTTCCAGTTTCATTCACATTGTTCAAAATTCACTCTTGCACCTTGCCACGTTTTTGCTTACAAATACACCCAGGCCTTTGGGAGGCAGAAGCCGGAGGATTGCCTGAGCTCAGGGGTTCAAAACCAGCCTGAGCAATATGGCAAGACTTCATCTCTACAATTAAAAAAAAAAAAAGGCAGGCATGGTGGTAGCACATGCCTGTGGTTCCAGCTACTTGGAAGGCTGAGGCAGAAGGATCTCCTGAGCCCAGCAGGTCAAGGCTGTGGTGGTGGTGAGCATGCTACTGGACTCCAGCCTGGGCGACAGAGTGAGACTTCAACTCTCTCTATATATCCAGGAGACCGTTCCGTATCAGTTTGGGGAGACGCTTTTTTTATATATGAAAAGAATATAAGATAAAATGTTGCTGTGAGCCCCATGACCAGCCCTGACCACTGTCCATGTGTGGCCAATTCTGTCATGCCTCCACCCCAGCCACTGCCAAATATTAGGAATGAAATTTTCCAGGCTATCCATCATCCATCAGCAGTGCATTGTTCTTTTTTTTTTTTTTTCTTTTTGAGTTGGAATCTCACTCTGTCACCCAGACTGGAGTGCAGTGGCACGTTCCCGGCCACCACAGCCTCTACCTTCTGGGCTCCGGCGATCCTTCTGCCTCAGCCTTCCAAGCAGCTGGAACTTCAGGCACACGCTGCCATGGCCAGCTAATTATTTTTTATTTATTGTAGAGAAAAGGTCTTGCCAAGTTGCTTGGGTAGGTCTCGAACCCGCAGGCTCAGGCAATCCACTTGCCTCGGCCTCCCAAAGTGCTGGGATTACAGGCTGAGCCACTGAACCCAGCCTGCATTGTTCTTGAACAGCTGCATGGTCGTCACTCTCTTGGGTGTATCATAATTTATCTTACCAGGATGGGCACTGTCAACCAAAGAAAAAAAAAAGAAAAATATCTTCAAATATGTTGAATTAGGCTGGGCATGGTGGTCTATGCCTGTAATTCCAGCAATTTGGGAGGCCAAAGTGGGAAGATCACTTGAGGCCAGGAGTTTGAAACCAGCCTTGGCAATATAGTGAGATCCCGTCTTTATAAAAAAAAAATCAGCTGGGTATGGTGGCACAGGCCTATAGAAATAGACCCAGCTACTCAGGAGGCTGAGGCAGAAGGATCGCCTGAGCCCAGGAGGTCAAGGCTGCAGTGAGCTGTGATTGTGCCATTGCACTCAGCCTGTGTGACAGAATGAGACTCTGATGCAAAAGAAAAATTGTCAGATTTATTTAGGAAGTAGAAAAGAGGGTTTTAACTCGAAGTGCATGGTTATGGCAAGCCACAAGTGGAGCTGCAGAGGGGAGGAAGGGAGGATGATATTAGGAGAAGGAGACCTTCCTATGAGCTGCTTGGAAAGTTCGTGGGTTTTGGAGGCTCAAAGCCAGAGTTGGCCTCAGTTCATGGAGGTGCAGTCTCTGGACAAGTGTTCTTTCCAGAGTGTTTGATGTGAA